TGAGGGCTAGAGTTGCAGTTGCAACTTGAACTTTGATGAGTTGTGATGTGCCTTGAGCAACCTTCCAACATAGACCTAAGTAGACTCTAGCATGCTCATACCCGGTCAGTTTCAATACTCCCCCTCAAATTGGATCAAGAGGATTAATTGATCCAAGCTTGCTCAGCAATCTTTGGAAATGAGTAGAGTCGAGAGCTTTTGTGAACAAGTCAGCAAGTTGATCGGAACTTCGAGTGTACACTGTGTTGATGACTTTGGATTGGACTTGGGCACGGATGTAATGACAATCAACCCCAATATGCTTTGTCCTTTCGTGAAAAATTGGGTTCGAAGTTATGTGCATGGCAGCTTGGTTGTCACGAAATAGAGACATATGTTCTGTGTCGATGTAGCCAAGGTCAGCTAGGAGACTCTTTAACCAGATTAATTCACAAGTCGTGGATGTCATGGCTCTATACTCAGCCTCAACACTTGATTGCACAATCACCGTTTGTTTTTTACTCTTCCATGTCACAAGATTACCACCAACAAATGTACAAAAACCAGTGGTAAACTTGCGATCAAGTGTATTACCTACCCAGTCAACATCTGTGTATGCCATAATGTGATTTGAGCCATGTTTCTTCATGAGCAAGCCTCTGCCAATGGACCCCTTTAAGTATCTAAGTATTTTTTTTATAATATCCCAGTGAATCAATGTGGGAGAGTGCATAAATTGGCTGACAAGGCTTACTGAATAAGCAATGTCAGGTCATGTAATTGTGTGGTAGATCAGGTTTCCTACCATATGTTGATAGACACTAAGGTTTGACAGTGGTTCACTTTGGACATCTAATTGAAGTTTACTCACAAAAGGTGTACGTGCTGGCTTGCAATCCAACATGTGAGCTTTATCCAATAGATCAAGTACATATATTCTTTGATTTAGGAACAATCCCTTGGAGGATGTGGCCATTTCAATGCCAAGAAAATACTTTAAGATTCCCAAATCTTTAAGAGTAAATTGTTGATGAAGAGAGGATTTAAGGGCGTTGATTTCTTCAATGTTGTCACCCGTTATAATAAGGTCATCAACGTATATAAGGACAATGAGCTTACCATTTATACCATTGCGAACAAACAATGAAGAATCGGCATGACTCTTCTGGAACCCTGCAGCTTTAAGAACTAAGCTTAACTTCGAGTACCAGGCTCATGGGGATTGCTTGAGTCCATATATAGCCTTGTGAAGTTTGAAAACTTTGTTAGTTTCATGCTCTTGCGGATGTCCGGGATGAAGCTTCATGTATACCTCATCTTCAAGTTCACCATGGAGGAATGCATTTTTCACATCCATTTGAAATAGAGACCAATCATGATTAATTACGACAAACAATAGCACTCGGACCGTGTTAATTTTAGCTACAGGAGCAAAAATCTCCTTGTAGTCAATGCCATAAGTTTGTGTAAAGCCACGGGCTACTAATCGAGCCTTGTGTCTTTCAATACTATCATTTGAATGGAACTTTGTCTTGTATATCCACCTACTCCCTACTGCCCTTTTTTCCTTTGGAAGGTCAACCACACTCCATGTTTAGTTGTCATTCAGTGCTTTAAGCTCTTCTTCCATTGCTTCCTACCATACTTAAATGTGAGAAGCTTCATTAAAGTTCCTTGGTTCAACATTAGTGGACAACTGATTGAGAAATGTTGCATAGGATGTTGACAGGTTTTTATAGGTTAAAGCTTTGGAGATGGGATGTCTTGCATTGTACATAATGTACTTTTATAGCCTTAATGGGGTATGCCTGTCTCGAGTATGATTTCTTCGTGGTGCCAAGACAGGTTGTGGTGCAGTGATTGAGTTTTCTTGATCATGAGCTGTTTCCTCACCACACGTTACTTTGAGAGATGTTCAAGAGGAACATTTTGAGAATTGCATTCATGTAGGTGTGCTGGGGTAGGCAAAGGAAATATGTCTAGAAGACTCTCCCCCTGAGGTTCTTCACTTCAACCTTTATGAAAAAAAATGGAGTATACTCATCAAATCGAACATCTCTTGAGACTCCAATCTTTCCATTATGAGGATTATAGTATTTATATCCTTTTTGAGAGCTTGAATATCTCATAAACACACTGTTGACAGCTCTGGGTTCGAGCTTATCTCGATGTGCAGCTTGAACATGTACATACCAAGTGCACCCAAAGGTTCTAAGGTGTAAGATGTCAATATTTCTTCCCTTCATTACTTCAACAGGTGATTTTGAATTCAAAACACGAGTAGGAAATCTGTTGATGATGTAAGCTGCAGTGAGAAGGGCCTGAGACCAAAACCTTTTGGGAACATGCATTTGAAACATAAGAGACCTTGTTTTCTCCAATAAGTCACGGTTCTTTCCCTCAGCTACACCATTTTGTTGTGGTGTACCAACACAGCTAGTTTGATGTAAAATCCCATGATTGCTCAAATAATTAGACATGTTATTAGATGTGTACTCAGTGCCGTTGTCCGATTGTAAGATGTTTAACTTAGATGAGAATTGGTTTGTGATCAGTTTATGAAAGTCTTTGAAAGCATGAAAAAATCCACTCTTGAACTTTAAGAGATAAACCCAGGTGACCCGAGAGTAGTCATCAATAAACGTGGCATAGTATTTATATCCATCAAATGAGTCTACACGAGAAGGACCCCAGAACCTCAAACAGTTTACTAGTTGTAGACTTGGAAAAAACAAAAGGAAGTCTAGTTGCTTTTAACATTTGATATATCTTACACTCATGTGGAGGTTTACAAAAATTAGGAAAGACTTTGGTCATCACAGGTTCTGAGGGATGGGCCAGTCGAAGATGCCAAAGTTGGTATTCTTGAATGAAACTTACGCTGGTAATAGGGTTTTTGACAGGCTTGAACTTCTTGGAAAGATAATATAGTCCATTTGAGAGAAACCCTTCACCAATCTTCTTTAGAGTAACTCGATCCTGAAATACAACTTTGTGATGAGAGAATATGGCAAGGCAATCTAGAGTGGTTGTGATTTTTCCTATGGACAAAAGCTGGAAGGGAAATGAGGGTACATACAAAGTTGTTGACTCGATCTCATCACTTAACAGTTTAAGTTTTCCTTTTCATAGAATAGGTTCTCCTTTCCCATTTGCTACAGACACACGTGTAGATTTAGGCATATTTTGAAACTTATCTAAGCAAGAAGACTTGTATGTTATATGGTCAGTGGCACCTGAGTCTATAATCCAACAATCATGTGTCATTTCATTGAGTGCATTCGAGAGGGTAGTGATAATACCTGAAACATTGTCTTGAGTTGTGGTCTCAGTCAAGAAACCTGTGAATTTTCCGAGTATGGCATTAGGATTCTTAGTGGTCACTTCCTCATCTTCAGTGGTGCCTCCTCTTCTTTGAAAAAACTAGCAAATTCATTTATCAAATCTATTGGATTTGCAGTGAAGTTTGCAATTCCACCAATCGAAGAACTAGTTGAATTGAGAGCCTTTGGAGTGGTTCATTTCCCTTCTTTGATCATTCTTCCTTCTTTATCAAACCTTAGTTTTAACTCCGGGTGCAAGATTCAGCATTTTTCCCTTAGATGCCCTTTCATGTTGTAGTAAGTACATTTCCAATCTGCCTTCTTTCCAGTGAAAAAATTTTCACTAGTGTGTTTGTGATTGCTAGTGAAAGCCCTAGCCTCATAGTTAGACTTAGGCTCAATGTGCATGACTTTTCTTCGAGTTTCCTCCCTTTGAACAGCTTGACAAACACTATTAAATTAGGACAGATCGAGGGTCATCAACAAATGACTTCGAAGATCTTCATATTCAGCTCCTAGACTTGCCAAGAGTTGAAACACTTTGTCTTCATCAGCTCTTTTAAGGAGCGTAGCGGAATCGATTGTATGTGGTCGGTACATGTCGAGTTCATTCCACATCGACTTCATGCTTCCAAGGTGTTGCACGAAGGATTGGTCACCTTGCCTTAGCCCAGCAAGGTCCTTCTTGAGTTGAAATATACGAGCATCATTATTTTGGATGCTATATATCTCTTTGATAGATTCCCACAAAATACAAGAAGACTCTAAGTAGCTGAAAAGCTCAGATAGCTTAGGTTCCATGGAATTAAGTATCCAAGACATAACAAGTTGATCATTTGCACGCCATGCACCATACAATGTAGAGGATGGTTGAGGTGCTTTAATACTTCCATTGACACACCCTAGCTTCGATCTTCCACCTAGGGCAAGAGAAATGGCACGTGACCACGGTAGGTAATTGAACTCGTTTAGCAACACGGATCACAGACGCATATTTGGATTGATCTCACCATGAATTATACTGGGAGATGGAGTGTTTGAAGAGCTTGTAGCCTCTTGGCTTGAAGCTTGATCTTCTGCCATTACGGTGAATGAAGAACAGAAGAAACAAAGTTTTTTTCTTTTTTGAATGAATCGGACTGCAAAGATAGGACCCTATGGTTCCTGCTCTAATACCATATTGAAATTCAGTTTAACAAAACTGTTTGTATATTTTCATCATGTATTGGTATTACAAGTGAGGGCTCTTATAGAGAGACCGAGCCAGGTAAAGAACCCATTGAATAATTACAAAACAGCTACAAGGAAGAGACCAAAAGATAAAAAAAGGCTAGCCCTAGTTGCAAGTTACAAGAAATCTAAAGCTGAAATACTAGAAGACATAAACCCTAGAATTAAGGGATAGTTGGTAACAAAAAATGACAGTTTAGTAGCAGCTGCAACTCTACCCGAGAATGAGGGCTAGAGTTGCAGTTGCAACTTGAACTTCGATGAGTTGTGATGTGACTTGAGCAACCTTCCAACTTAGACCCAAGAAGACTCTAGCATGCTCATACCCGGTCAGTTTCAATATATGTTAATTAAATTCTAGCAGTTGACGGAAAGGAGGTGGGAAGCATAGAGTAAGCTCCTGTGCCGATCGCTTATGGAGAATCGGATTAAGTTGTTCAATCATTTAATTAAAGCTAGTAAGTTTGGTTTATTCTTGAAATGCAGGTCCATTCAAGCATGTTGGACAAAATTACAAGCAATAATATACAAAATAGCGTTTGCCAAAAAAAAAAACAAAAAAAGGATAAAATTGCTGTTCATAATTTTGTACAGAAAAAGAATTTAAGTCCATAACTGAAGTTACTGAACTTGAACAAGTTTTCATGATTCGAGACAGCGCACTGCCGGGGCTGGACCATCCTTTTCGGGATCAAAAATTCGTACCGGGAAATGGGGAATATCGTTGACTGTGAGACTTGTAGAGCAAGCAATTAGCAGAGTCACAGCATTTGCTGCCGCAAATGTTATTCTAGAACTTGAGTTCAGAAATGTGGCTGGGACATGTGCTCAAAATTGATGCCAAGTTCCTCCCACAGGCAGGGGAGGAGATTGGGCCATTACCGCTCAGCGAAGAATTCTCGGTTTGCTGCGACTGTAATGCAGAGATTGATGAAGAGTGGTGGTTAGTGAGTCTCTTTTGTCCTTGTGGTGCTGAGGCTGATTTCGGGTTTCCACCGAAAGATATCTGAGTCTGACCTTGTGAACCTCTTCTTTGTTGCAGGGAACAAGTCATGACTGTTGAGTTTTTCAACTGAGAAGATTGGTGATGACTATTGCATTGCATTAGAGCTTTGGAGGAAACCGGGGCGCTTTTCGGGACTTTGGCAGCAACAGCGGGTTGCTGCTTTTGCAACAGATGTGGGTTCTGCAGCTGAAACTGGAACAGGTTCTGCTGTTGAGAACTCGACGACATGAAGTTGAGAGTTCTCGATGGATTGTCGAAAACAAGGGTCTGCCTCTGCACAATACCTGATGAAGACTTCCCAGAAGCAGCTCTTAACCCATCATCAGCATTGTTCGAACCACCATCAGTCTTCCTTTGGGATATTTGGTGGTGGTGATTCTTTTGATGCCCAGCTTGAGGTGCTGGTGTGATTTTATACCCTTGCTGGGCCATATCTGGGACGCTTTGAAATATTGCAGGATTTTGTGCCATGGATGAAAAGTTCAAGCATGAACCCGAGCCGTTGTTTCCAGTGACGGAGGAAAATGACATGCCATATGCCTTAGATGGGATGAGCTCAACTCCACCCTTTAAGCCCTGTTTATGTGATTGCTCAACCTGGTTTCCGCTGCCGCTGCCACCGCCACCGCCACCCATTGTCACATAAGGCATCAGGGTAAAGTTGACGGGTTGAAATGGAACCGAAAAATTCTGCCCATAAACACTGTTCTGAGCATGAGAGGCAGCAGGAGATGCAGCATTCTCCATGTTCGTTTCACCTGGGGATACACGTTGCTTTTGTGAAGAAAAACAATTGTTGCTACTAAATTGTGTTTCCCTCGGTTTATGGGACTCATGTTGCCTGTGAGAAGGTGATGAAGCGTTTGCGTTTTGATGAGACGGTTGGACTTGATGCTGCTGAACATAGGAAGGGTGAAACATTTGATTCGAAATGAAAGGCGATTTGATTAAAGGCAATGCTTGAGCAGGGTTTCCTCCCCCAAACACTGGTGTTGTTTGTATATGAGCTGAAATGGGGTATTGGTAGCCATTAAAATTCACTGATGAACTCTCCAGAGGTCTAGCAGCTAAATGGCTAGAGAGTGCTGCATTGTTTGTTGATTGTGCAAATTTCAACACGACGGATTTACTACTGGTTGGTGCAACAGCTGCTTGATGTTCAACCCGAGGAAGTGCGAAAGTATGTCCATGCTGCAATTAAGAAAGAGCAGTGATAAATTTTCAAAACACTACTTACAGAAGTTGATTTACATCCACTCAACCGAAGTTGTTAAAGTATGCATACCATTTGGTTACCAGCATAGGCTAGCTGTGGAGTTTGCTGAACTGAAAGCTGCAATTTATGTGATGTTTCTATGACATTCCCAGCCTCGGAACTTCTGTCTTTTCCACTATCACTTGAAAACTTCGGCGCAGCCTGCTTCTTTTTCTGCGAATGTTGAAGATTCGGACCTGAGAAGCTTCCCAGCAATGGGATGTCTGGCTTAGTGCCACATTGAGGAACAGAACCAGTTGCTGCTGGCCAGAAATTGGTTGTCTGTGCAACCTTCTGATGCAAGTGAATGTTGTGAGCAATGTGACAGTGGGTTGCGCATCTCTTTCGTGGCGGCTGAGGCAGAAGGGAATCGGAAGGCTGCAATTTGCACAACAGCAAAATTCAGACCTAAAGTTAAAGAAAAATCAACAGAAAAAGGAAAGTTTCGACATAGCGGAAAGACTGGAAACCTGTAATCTGGTAGTGGATTACTGCTACTATCTTGATTTGGATTCTCATTTTGCTTCTTCTCTTCCAGCTTTTCTACCACAACTTCCTCCGGAAATATTTCCACTTTCTCTTCTTTCTTTACCAAAACTTCGATCTTCTGCATAAAAAACATGACGGAAGGGTCATGAAACTGAAAGAACTAAAAGCGAAATGGTTATCAAATGAGCCCTAAAGAATTCAGCGGGTGAGTTCGCTTACCATATCTACATCTTGGGTCGGAGGTTTAGGATCAGATACAGAATCTGTAAAGTCGTCATCCTGGTCCATAGGAGGAGGAGCCTGCTCGAAAATCAGCCACAATGCATCAGTGAAATGGAGATAACAAGAAGCATTACACAAAATGCAACCAAATCGAAAACCCGAGAAACAACAACTCACCATCAGATCAATTTCAAATCTTTCCCCCTCTCTCTTCCTCTTATGCTCCAACCCAGTTGAAATCCTGACAATTTCCACCCATCAAAACAAAGAACTGATTAGATTTCGTTTTCAGGTTTACCGAATCATTCAGATGTTTCGATGACAGATATCAATCAAACAAGAAAAGGAGAAACAAGGCAAAGATTTTTTTATGCTCACGCTTTTGTCCCTTTCGAATCTTCACACGAAAACTCGGCTTTTGTGGCGATGATGCTCTTTTCTTCCGCGTATGGATTTTCGGCTTTCTCCTCGTGCGAGTCCATTGACCCTGATGCACCGTCAGAGCAAGCTTCAATCTTTTCTGGCTGGTCACTTTCTTCGACTTCAACCCCTTCACCAGCTGAGCTGCTTTGAACCGCCATTGAAGCACTTCCATCCTCCGCTTTCTTCTCCTCGGAATCTGCAAACGCAAACAGACAGATAAAAATCATTGACTAGAGCGGATGCGCATCCCTTTGCACTCGCGTTCGAATACCCAGCTCGCAGATTAGATTAGTTTAAAGTAGAATATCGCGCTTGTATCAAAAATAAAAAACAGGAAACCGTCGCTAATACCATTTCTATCTTCAGTTTCGCACTTCGAAGTTTTTGAATTCTGGGTTTGATTCATAAGGCCATAGAGAACCTCGGCGATCTCAATCTCAATGTCCTCTTCTTCTACAGGCCCTGAAGATTTCGGAATCCGAATCTTGGGTCCATTTCGTTTCTGCAACATATGAATTCATAAGCTCAAAAATCTCAAAACTTTCCAAAAAAACTTCTTCAAAAATCATTTTTTGAAAACGTAGTACTAACTGACCATCGTTTTCCTCGATGAAACGTTTGAGAAAGAAAGCGACGCAGCTTTAAAGCTCAGCTTCTGAAGACTCTGTTCTTCCTCCCCAACTCCTCCATAACTCTCAGAAGAGAAATTTTCATGCGACCTCTTTCCAGCAGCTGCAAAAAAAGAGATCAAATTTAAAACGAAATCCAAAAACAGAGCAAACCCAAAACAGAGAGAGAGAGAGAGAGAGAGAGAGAGAGATATTATCAATTGCATTTGGATGTTGCTATACCTGAGCGAGCTTTTCTGGGAACTGCAACTCCGATCACTTCACTGGCAGCCTTTAGCGGCGGCGGAGCTTGGTGGTCGGAAAAACCCAAGCTCTCTTCTGTGCTGTCTTGATCTTGATCTCCTCTTCTGTACCTCCTCTGTTTTTTGCTCTGCTCTCTCATGCTTCTCTTCTGGTTTTGCTTGCTGCCATGGTTGGCCTTCTTGTTTCTCTGCTTCTCTCCATGCTCATATTATTCTCAGCTGCTTCTTCTCGTTTCTCGTCAAATCATCAAAACGCACAAAATGGAAGACAAAAACTCTCTCTCTCTCACTATGCAGATAGATACAAAAATGCCCCATGCATTGAGAATTGCAAGTATCATTCTATTTGATATCTTGTCTTTCGGATTCGATGGTCACTCTTTCGTAATTATCAACTCGTTGATTGTTGCATAAAAGTATTTTTTTATATATATCCAAAACAGAAGGTGGTAACTTTGTATATAACATGTTATAATATATGTGAACAATACGATTGATATGTCGCACTTTAGATTATATTTTTCAATACCCTCTACTATTTTTGTGCATTTGAGTTTGATTCTTTCTTTTTTTCTCATAGTTATGATTAATTTAAAATAGCTTATTGCCCTTTCCAGTTGAAATTGTAGGTATACTCTAATGCTAGTGATGAAAGTAACTAATATCTCTCTAAACTTTTATTTACAAAAAAAAAAATAGCTTATTGCTTGTATAAAAGAAGAAGAAAAAAAAACTTACTGATTCACAAAGGGTTCACAGTTCAAAAAATTAAGGGTAAAAACTTACGTTCGAGGTTCCAAATTTGATTCCTCTTCTGATAATTTAAAATAACAGAAAGACTTGACTATTTTTTTATTTGTGTTTTTGAAAATGCAGATCAACGCAAAATATTAGTTTAACGACAAGCTAGAAAAAATAATATAATAAAGTACAATTAAGTATCATAATTCTATATTGGCTGCACACGTTAGTGCTTTTTTATTTTAAATAATAGCTTTAGTCGTTCTTTTGTTTAATTAAGAAAAAAAAGAGTACTAAACCAAAAAGCATGGGAAAAACTTATAACTTAGTCTTTCTTTTGTTTAATTAATTAAAAAATAGTACTAAAACAAAAAGTATGCTTCTAGGAAAACTAATAACTTAGTATTTCCTTTGTTTAATTAAGAAAAAAAAAAGATTACTAAAACAAAAAGCATGCTTCTAGTAAACGGAATAGGATACTTTTTAGAGAATTTTAACGAAAAGCTCTCGGTATTGTTCACTTTAACGAAAAACTACATTTTTACATTAAAAAGTCAATCATGATGTCATTCACTTTACCCTTTATTTTGTCCCAAAACTCAAAGTTTTCAAGTCATTTTCATTAGTTTTTCTTACTTTCTATCCCTCCCATTCAAATTCTTCAATTATGTCCATTCAACCGAAAATCGAACTGTCAGGAATTAATTAACTTTCTTTTTTGCTTTTTTATGTTTATCTTCTTCACTCTCCTCACTATCTCTCTCTCCAACTCATTTCTCTCTCTCTCTATCTAGGAGGAGGACTTGGTTCCAGTTTTGAGCAACCAAAGGCTGAAAGACAATGGTGTGAGCGTGGTTAGTTGACAATTGAAGTCAGCACCTATCGTACAACGCAGAGAATTGAAGGACCAGTTTTGAGCAACTGAAGGTCGAAAGACAGTATGGGCGTGATGGGTTGGCAGTTGGAGCCAGCACCTATCGTAGAACGCAGAGAATTGAAAGATCCAAAGAGAATCTCGACCATTAGGAAAAACTAATAATTTAGTCTTCCTTTTGTTTAATTAATAAAAAAAAAAGAGTGCTAAAACAAAAAGCATGCTTCTAATAAAAACTAAAGAAAGGAATCCATCCCACTTGCCCAATACTTGGAAAAGTCATATTTTATTTCGTTTTGATATATTTTTTTTATATAAGAAAGAATGAAAGAGAAACAAAGCTTTGTTTAATCCATAACAACAAGGTAATGCTAAAGCAATGTTTGTTAATCCGTAATTAATTGCATGCATAAGTTTGTATTACTATTATTATAATAAGCCGCACGTCTCCATAGATTATATATTGGTGGGATCCGAGCTGTCAATTCTTAGCAAGGGTCTTGAGAATTTGAAAAATATTATTCTAACTATGACCATATAAATAAATGAGCACAATATTTTTTTCAATTTCAATAAGTTTAGGAGGAGGGGAGGCTATCTCATTTCAGAATTAAGGCATGCTACAAGCTTTTTTTGAGGACTTAGAGAAAAGGTTTTAGTACGTAAGTTCTAGTCCTGAATTGTCGTCAATAAGATTCGAACTAAACTTTGGTCTAACAAAAAGAACGATCATTACTAACTCAATTAACGTTTATTGACATACGCAATATTTTCAATGCACTATGAACGAAGTTAAATTATGAAATTACATTGTAGAGCACACTAAAGTATATGATTGACATCATATTAGCTTACTAATTGGTTTTATTATACTAAATTTTAATGTAATTTGACTTCATCTATCTTCCATTAATTTATTAACACGTATTAATATTATTGTACAACTTAAACATTATATTTAGAAGGTTAAGACAACTTAAACATTATTATAAATTATTTAGTGGGAAAGAACATTGTATTTAGAAGGTTAAGACAAGATGATCCATCCACCCTAGTGGCACTTTATTAATAAAACGAAATATAAAATAATACAAAATATTTGAATAATCAGATCCAAAGTGCAAAGCTGTTCGGATCGACAAAAGTCTTATTTTCGTGTAGAAGGATTTTTTTTTTTTTTTTTTTTTTTTGTTAAAGGTGATGAGTCGTGGAGGTCAAAGAAAAATAGAATAGGATCCTATCATAATCCTCTTTTTAATGATCTCGAATATCACTAATCATGTTCGTTCATTTATCATCTTACGGTCAAAATCATTTTGAATGTTTTAGGTATTCCATCAAAGATCATGTCTACCAAAAATCATTTAAATTTGAAATCATATGACTGTAGATTAAGGGTTTATGATTGTTTTATAGAACCGTATTAGCTTATTTTCTTTACTACAAATAAATGTCTTAATGGTTTTTTATTTGTCAAATTTTGTGCAAGGATGATCTATTAGTAATGTTATAAAAGATAAACGGTTAGATCATTAAAATACATTACAGAGTAGACATCACAAAAACGTTTGTTAAAAATCATATGAAAAGAGGTGTGATATTCACACGCCTTTTTTTACTTCTCCTACACCTTTTTAGTTTTCGGCCATCGGATTGGATGAATTAAAGAAAATCAACGGATATAAATTAATAAGGGATGTGTGAGAAATAAAAAATGATGTGTGGATAGCACATCCCTATGAAAAAAGTAGTATCACATATTAGTTTCCAATAAAATATGATTTTTAAACAAAAATTTAGTGGAGGAATCATCAATTCACTGTTGGCTTAGGGCTTGAAGGAGACTGGATATATTAATTGTTTTTTCAGCTGAGATAGAGAAGAACTCCGGACAAATATTCAAAGTTCAAACTCAAAAGTTTGTTTGCAAAAAATATGCATATTTTGCGTTTCATCTTCCAAAGAAACATGCGACTGCAACATTATTTTCAATTTGTTAATGGCATGCACATATAAATTTAATCAAAATCACTTTCATCAGTTTTTTAATTCGAAGTTTAATCTAATTTAATCTAAACTATTGAGAGATGGGTTCAGATTAAGTGTAGAGGAAGAGACACGTTGCTTAACGAACTTGGCTACATACCGTACTTTCACTTTGGTCGTCTTTTTAGTGATTTTATGGGAGATTATTTCTACAAACCCTTTTTTCTCATTTGCACGCCTAGTTTGTTTTTGTCTGTTGATTTTCTTTAGTTTATTCGATTTAACGGTTAGAAACAAACATGAGTTATGAGGTATGCATGAGAGAAAAATTGTGTTGAAATCAACTCTATTTGCAACATATTAGGGTTTGTTTGAAAGTTTTTTTTTTTTAAATAACTTAAAACGTTTTTTATGAAAATATTTTTGAACCAACTTTTAGTAAAAATGCAAATAAATCTTGAAAATCCTTTGGAACTCAAAAATATTTCTTCTAAAAACGTTTTCAATTACTTTAAAAATACTTCTAAACGAACGTTTAGTTGTCATAAAAACGTATCACATAGAAAATGACTTTTTTGTAGTGTGGGTTGATGAAAGTGGGCCAAAAATAGTAGTTATTCCCGATTAATATACGAAAAGAGGGTTGTGAGCTATGATGAAGATAACTCATCTTTCTTTTGCATTTGTGCACACACTGAAAAAGACTCACTTGAACTCAAAAGAGGAGGCAATCAACATAAAGGTGATGCCCCTAAAATGGTGATTTTCCAATTGTATGTTTGAAAAGTCATGAATAATACAAGAAAATTAGGTATGGAATCAACTACCCCACAATCAATCTAACTTCTGGTTTTTCAAGTAATGAGTTACTGATTTGGAATATAAGATTGCCGTAATTTGTGATCATAAACGCAAGAGAAGTCGTGAACCAGAGATATTCGTACCTCCTAATAGAATTATCATCCTTTGTCAGTCGGAAGTTCCGAAAAAGCACAATGCCGCAATGGGATGATAGGAGCAAATTCTTCGGTGTAACTGGAAGTAGGGCGGATGTACATTGAGACCAAAGTCCTAAAAATATGTATGTAAAGGTAGTATGAGGACTCTTCGAACGTTTAGCACATGTCTTTTTTATGCCTAGTAAGTGTTTGATGTAATGCATGTTAGGCATATCTCAACATGTTGTATCGACAGCACTCAACAAATTCTATTGATATCACTCATTAAATTGTTTTGACATATGTTATATTTATTGATATGTGCGTAACATAGTTTGACTAACGACAATAATCTCACAAAGTATTAAATGAAACGCATCACAGAATAAGCTGAATTTTTTTTTTTTTTAAGCTTTGTTTCTATCTAAAAAAGTTGCACTTTTAACACCCAAAATTCAAATCATGAATTCACACTGGAAGTATATCTATTTGTCTATATTTTTCGCGTGATGAGAAAAAAACAGTATATTGTACAGCAAAATATCTAGATGATGGGACCAAATCACCAAATGCCTTTTCCTTTTTCTTCTTTATGTATTGGAGGGTAGGGTAGGATTGGCTTTGTGGGTTTCTAGGGTAGTGTGGTTTTACAAGACAGAACGATGGGACAAATGCCATGTTATCTCCAATGAAAGATCCTTCGGAGGGAAACTTTGGAAGGTTGTCTGACTAAGGCAACTCTTACTCCAACATAGAATCGGATGAGACCAAAATATAGAAGTCTCGTACCTTTGAAAGCGTTGTCGTACAAAAGACGTGGTCGACATGCCCTTAGATTG